TGAGACAGCGAGGTTGGCACAGGATAGAACAGCGTTTAGGGTTCTTGTACATAGGGTCGCTATGAGTTGCAAGCGACTCTATGGCACATAACAACAACAATAATGGAAGAATATATGAAGCACAATGAACATGAATGAAACACAATGTATATGAATTTTGTATGGAAACCAATATAAAATTTTTAAAAATGAAAAAAATATAGTAAGATTCTTGTCTTCCAGAGTTGTCACATCATGCTAGTAAACTTAAAGTCAGCTTGGAGAAATAAATTTATATTTATTTTCAAATGAAAATTTAAATTCATGACAAGTTCAGTGTGAATTTTTTTTTTTCTGAATTTCTATATGAGTCCAGCATTAGAGATATTCTGAAACAGAGTTAAAGTAAAAGGATCCTTGAACACTTTTGTCTCCTTCTCTATCAAGAAATGATGTATTAAGTTTACTTTCTCTAAGACTGATGCCAGTCTTAAAATTGATATTCTAAAAACCCACTACCCTTTGCAGCCCTGCAGGACAGAGTAAAATGGTCCCTAGGGTTTCCAAGGTTGTAAAGCTTTTTGGAAGCAAACGACCGCATCTCCTGTGCAGTGCTGGAGGATTGAGAAAGCTGCTCTTTTGGTTAGTGGCCTCAGATTTATCCTGTACACCACCGGGATTCCTTAAATTGATATTAGGAAATTACTACTTGAAACGTATTCACAAGAGTTTAATGTGATGAAAAGCTCTTTTCTGCGAAAAATACATTTTATTGTTGTTGTTATTATTCATGATCTTTACAATTCTCTGTGTCTTTTCTGCCAACAAAACCAAAAGTGCACTATTTCTTTTTATTCTAAATCCCTACTGTTCGCTAAACCACAACTTTCAAATTCTCCCATTGGAGCGCTTTGTTGTGTAAGGGAATATCATAGCATGGCACTTTATTCTCTCCATTCACTTTCACATACCTCAAACATTAATAATACAATCCCAGAAGTTAAAAAGACATAGGGAGGACAAATAAGATGAAAATAAAGAGTTCATATAAGCACAACTGTTAGCATAATTCTCAAAGAAATATTAGTATAAAAATGCATAACAAATTATCTATTCGTTGAGAGAAGATACTGTGTTACATAGAACTTCACGCCTAGATTTTCTTTCCTTGGCATCTTCGGTTTTCTCACAGTAGTTCTTTTGTTTTCTCCCACAGTAAGATATTTCCCAGAGGTCTTCCTGAGGAATACTCCATAGCAGCCGTGTTTCGTGTGCGAAGAACCACCAAAAAGGAACGGTGGTTTCTATGGCAGGTTTTAAACCGGCAGAACATGCCCCAGGTAAGGAACTATAAGAGTTGTATTTGTTAATTTTCTCTTGTGCTATTAGTCCAGGTGAGTATTAGAAGTGTGTACAAATTTTGGAGTGTATCTGGTGTTAAAATAGTCTTTATTTTAGAGAATCATCAATAACATTCTGTAGTTAGGATGATCTTAATGAGATCTTACAAGTTTGATGGGTGAGGCAGGAATGTTCTTTTTCTTTTTAAAATCCTTTCTCAAGATTCATGTACTTTCCAAACACCCTCAACCTTCCTTTTCTTTAAGAATTTTGGCTAATTCCACCTTACTACTAAGTTTTCCCACCCGGACACTCTGGTGGCTTAGTAGTAAGGAATTAAACAGCCATTCCAAAGACACACAGTTCGAATCCACCATCTGTTCCATAGGAGAAAGATTAGTAATCTCCTACTGTGAGATTTACTGCCTCTAGAAACCTGGTGGAGGGTCAGCTGTGGGTCAGATCAGATTCCATGGTACACAACAGTAAGTTTATCACTAAAGGCGCTTTGGTGTCCTTGTGGATAAGGAGTTGCACTGCCAACCCAAAGGCAAGTGGTTTGAATCCAACAGCTGTTTCATGAGAGAAAGGTGAGCAATCTCCTCCTGTGTGATTGATAGCCTCAGAGAACCCTCTGGCAAGTCAGCTCTGAGTCTCATAGACATATAATAAAAACACTATCAATAGACTTCTAGAACACACAGATGTCTTGGAGAACAAGCAACCAGAATGTTCCTTGAAGTCAAGGATGACAAAGGTTCGTCTCATAGACTTTGGGCATGTTTCCAGGGGAGGATATTCTTTGTACAACATATCAGGTTTGCAAAAGTGGAATATCAGTGAATAAAAATATGACTTTAAACAGGATGGGTTGATACAGTGACTGCAGTATCGGCTCAAGTGTGATGGGATGATGAGGGTGGTGCAGGATAGGACAAGATTCAGATCTGTTCTTCCTAGGGCTGCTATGAGTCATAAACTGCTCAAGGGCACTTAACTACAACAATAACCTCTGATATTATATATTACTTTTTTATATTATATATTACTTTTGAAGAAATTCTGATATATTATTTTATTTTAAAAAGAAATCCATTCATTTGTTGAGCAGCCTTTTATGTATTAAGAGATGACATTTAAATACTCTCTAAATAAACATTTATTGAGCACATGAGATTATAAAAATATAATTTCATTCTCAGAGCATAATACATAAGATATTTACTTATGTTTCATTGACTACACAAAGGCGTTCGACTCTGTGAACCAAAACAAATTATGGAAAGCATTGTGGAGAGTGGAAATTACAGAACACTTCATGGTGTTCATGCAGAATCTGTAACATAGTCCTGAAGGCAATAATTTGAGCATAACAAGACCATTCTGTATGGTTTTAAATAAGGAATAGTGTGTATCAGGATCTTATACTTTACTTAGTACAGGAATAATGTAAAAAGCAGTGTTATAAAAAGAGGAACACAACATCAGTGTTGGAGGAAAATTCATTAACAAACTGTATTATACAGATGGCACAATCTTGCTTGATGAATGTGGAGAGGACTTGAGACATTTATGATGAAGATAAAAGATGGTAACCTTCAGTATGGCCACAGCTGGACAAAAAATAAAAATTATGATAAATGGAGAAAAGATTAAAGTTGACAATTACTTTATTTTACTTAGATCGACCATCAACAACCATAGAAACAGAAATCAAGGAGTCAAATGATTTCTTGGCAAATCTGTATCAGCTACAAATGATCTCCTCTTAAAATGTTAAGAAATAAAGATGTCAGTTTGAGCACTAAAGTATACTTAACCCAACTCATGGTATCGTCAGTTGCCTGACAAGCTAATGAAAACTAGATACTAAGTGAGAATGAAGAACTGATGCATTTGAATTATGGTATTGGCAAATAACATTGAATATACACTGAAGTTCCAGAAGAAGGAACAAATCTATCTTAGAAGTATAAGCCAGGATGTTCCTTGGACGTGAGGATGAAAAGACTTAATTTCATTTACTTTGGACATGTTGTTTAAGAGACGTGGAGAAGAATATTGTGCTTGGTGAGGTAGAGGGTCAGTGGAAAAGAGGAAAGGCGCAACATGGCAGCTACTGTGAGGATAACATTGGACTTGGTTTAGACAGGATCACCGTGAGTCAGGCATGACTAAGCTGCACCTAGCAACAGCAATAATGTCTTCTATGGCATATAGTACAATAGCATAATCTTACATAATTACAAAAGTTTAAGAGCTTGTAGTATTTGAGGTAAACAACAAAAAAAATCTCAAGAAAAGTGAGGGTAGAAATTTAGGTTTGTGAAGAGATGATATCTATGCTGAAGGAAGAAGATGCTGAAGGGAGGAGGTATGGGCACTTATGGTGTGGGACAGTAAGGAAATATTAACCTTACTGATATCATAAATTTATGTTCAAAACTATGTGTATATATGTATGTGTATACACACACACACACACACACACACACACACACACACACACACTCACTCACATTGAGTTGGAAACAAATAATAGCTGCTTTGCCAGTAGTTTTCAGAGGAAATCACATGGGAGGAAACAGTTACGTTTTCTTCTGCAGAGCACCTAGTGAATTCAAACTCTGTGCTTTGGAATTAGAAGTGCCTCTTCTTACCACTAAGACATCAGAGCTCCCTTTTGATTATGCAAAGGCATTTGACTGTGTAGATCATAACAAACTGTGTCTGACTCTGAGAAGAATGGGAATCCCAGAACATTTAATCGTGCTAATGCGAAACCTATACTTGGACCAAGAGGCAGTCGTCAGAACAGAGCAGGGCAACACTGAATGCTTCAAAATTGAGAAGGGTGTACGCCAGGAATATGTCCTATCTCCATACCTTTTCAACCTGTATGCAGAGCAGATTATCTGGGAGGCTGGGCTCTATGAGGAGAAGCGTGGCGTTAGGATTGGTGGAAGATCTATCAACAATCTGCATTATGCAGATGACATAACCCTGCTCGCTGAAACTGAGGAGGACCTCATGCACTTGCTGCAGAGGGTCAAGGTCTGCAGCCTTCAGTATGGACTGAGGCTCAATGTCAAGAAGACAAAGATTCTCACCACTGGACCAATCGGTAGCATCAGGATGGATGGTGAAGAGATTGAGATTGTTCACAGCTTCAGTTTGCTCGGCTCGATGGTCAACACTCTTGGCACCAGCAGCCAGGAAATAAAAAAATGTATGGCGATGGGGAAGTCTGCTGTTAGGGACCTCTCTAAAGTACTCAAGCACAACGGTGTGTCTCTGGAGACTAAGGTGCTCCTGATACAGGCCATGGTCTTTGCAATCACTTGTTATGCATCAGAGAGTTGGACAATGACTAGGGAGGATAGAAAGAGAATTGATGCCTTTGAGCTGTGGTGCTGGAGAAGAGTATTGAATGTTCCATGGACTGCCAAGAAAACAAACAGATCCATCCCAGAGAGGGTTAAACCAGCTACTCCTTGAAGGCAAGGATTCTGGGGCTTCATCTGACATACTTTGCACATGTTGTAAGGAGAGACAGGTCCTTGGAGAGGGACAGCATGCTTGGTAGGGTAGAGGGACAGCGCAGGAGGGAAAGACCCTCTAGGATGTGGATTGATTCAGTGACTGGGGTAATCGGGATGGGTGTGTCAGAGACAGTGCGATTGGCACAGGATAGAGCAGGGTTTAGGGCTGTTGTACATAGGGTTGCTATGAGTCGCAAACGACTCGACGGCACATAACAACAACAACAACAACCTTTAATTATTTGTGTTGTTGTTGTGGTGTACATTCAAGTCTGAACCTACCAATAGCTGACTCTCCAGTGGGTTTTCAGAGCAGTTAATTGCATGGAAGGAGATTGCCCATGCTTTTCCCATAGAACAGCTGATGGATTCGGGCTGCTTGCTTTCGGGATTGCAGTACAGCTTCTTACAACTAGGCCACCAGAGCATAATTACTCATCATGAATGCATGTACTAACTCAGATGTACCCATATTGAAATAAGTTTTAGTAGTAGCTGCAAGTTTGCAGTTCTGTTTATACTAGCAAATCTGAAGTGATCTAAAACATTTTAGTAACTCTACAAGTTATACTAATATGCATTTTGAACTTTTATTTGTACATTTTAATAATTTTAGACATTACTTTTAAAATATTTAAAGATGTTTTTTTGCTTTTTGTTTTTAATTCATTTAGGTTTCTTTAGTAGTAGATGGTGGAAAGAAGGCTGTGGAATTTATGGTGCATGCTGCTGAGGGTGATGTGTTGAACTACATCTTTAAAAATCGAGAACTTCGTCCTTTGTTTGATCGCCAGTGGCATAAACTTGGCATTGGTGTACAATCCCGTGTTATTTCACTCTATATGGATTGCAATTTAATTGAGAGACGGCAGACAAGTGAAAGAGACACTCTTGACTTTCAAGGAAGGACAGTAATTGCTGCACGAGCCACTGATGGCAAGCCTGTTGACGTAAGTAGTGATGTTGGTTATGAAGTAGAACCAGTATTTCTAAGCTAAATAAAAATATTTTACATACTCTTTTCTTTAATTATATAAAATACATTTGTTTTCTCCTATTCACTGTTTAAAGGAATTTGCCATTGGATATATGATGTTATTTTCATATGTTATTTCGACTATCTCACTCATTTTCTCTAGCCTGTGGGTTCAAAAGAATCAGGTTATTCTTTAAAATTTAAGATTATTAAAATTAAATTTTATTAAGAATCTGATAATGTACCAAAAAAAGGTAAGTTTGGTTTAAGCTCATGTGTTGTGAATCAAAAGGACTGGGAAAGGATGAACTTAAATGATTTCAGACACTCTGATGTTTTCATTCAAAGACAATAGGCTATTTATTCAGCCTTTGAATAGCAGTTGCTTTGCATTACAGTCTAGAGTTCTGAAGATTATAGTTGTTTCTCAAGATTCTATAGAAGTGAAATGTAGTCAATAAATGTGTCTATAGGTTGTGCAGATGAGAAAAATTGGTTTGTACCCTTTCAGCTAAAAAGAGGCTTTGGAAAACTTGGGCTGTTTTTTTTTTTTTAAAAAAAAGAAATTATACTGATTTGCTTACAAAGTTCATATACATTGTGTTCCACACTATTATTCTTCATTCATATTGTGTTCCATACAATAATTCTCACTCATTGTGTTTTATAGAATTAATCACCATTGGACTATGTTTACCATTACCTTGTCTTTTCAGGTCCTTGCAGGGTCCTTCTCATTTCCTTTATTTTCTCCCTCCATCCACCAAATTATGCAACTCTGTGATTTCTCCCCTTCCCATTCTGACTCCTCTTCTAATATTGATTATGAAAGAAAATCAGTATTTCTAAGTGAAATAAAAATATTTTATAAGCTCATTTCTCCACCCCTTCCCCCCCCTTGGATCCCTATATATGTTTTACTAATTATCCTTTTATCTTTACATCATCTCCTTATGTAGTATATGTCCTTATAAGACTTAGGTAGTTCATGCAGCATAATGTTCTCCAGTCTCTTCCAAGTTATATAGAGTTTTTCGAAATTGTTGCTCCTTAGTGCTGCATAGTATTCCATTGTGTGGGTGTACCAAAATTTCTCAATCTATTCAGATGTGATTGGACATTTTGGATATTTCCATGTTGTTGAAATTGTGAACAAGGTTGGTATGAGGATTGCTGTGCAAATCTCTGTTTGTGTCTCAGTTCTCATTTTCTGAGGGTAAACTCCTAGCAGCAGAATAGCTGGGTCATATAGAATTTCTATGTTCAGCTTTTTAAGGAAATGCCAAACTGTCTTCCAGAGTGGTTGTACCATTTTACAGTCATACAAACAGTATATGAGAGTTCCTACCTTTCCAATATTTATTGCATGTGGTCCTGCTAGACTTTACCACTGCTCAATGTTCTTGACCATCTGAATGTATTCCTCTGTGAAAGGTCTTTTCATATTCTCTTTTGCCCATTTTGTAATTGCGTTGTCTGTCTTTTTCTTCTGGAGGCCTAGGACTATTCTGTAAACATTTGTTATGAGACCTTTGTCTGAAATTATATTGCCAAATATTTTTTTGCCCATCCAGTAGGTTTTCTTTTCATCTTTTTGGAAAAAGTTTTTTATGAACAGTGGGATTTAGTCTTTAGAACGTCCAGTTCATCAATTTTTCCTCTCCTGATTGTACATTTTGGACTCTATTTGTCACCCTTTATACCATAGAGTAGGCCTTTACACTTGGTGCCAGTTTGCTCTTATGAACTTTATGATTTGGGGCTTTACTCTCAGTTCTCTCCCCCACCTTAAGTTAATTTTAGTATATGTTGTGAGCCGTGGATCCTGTTTCACCTTTCTGCAGGTAACAGTGCAGTTTTGACAGCACCATTTGTTAAAGAGGTTGTCATTTCCCTTTTTTGATACATTCTGCTTCCTTATCAAATATCAGTTGACCATTAATAGAAAGGTGCATTTCTGTGTTCTCAATTCTGCTACATTCATCTATATACCTGTCACTGGACCAGTACCATGGTATTTTTGTTATCACCACCGTGTAGTAGGTTTTGAGGTCATGGGGTGTTACTAGGTCTTCAACTTCATTTCTGTTTTTCAGAAGTGCTTTGATAATTTGAGATCTCTTTCCTCTCCAAATAAACTTGAAAATTTCCCTTTTAATCTCCTTGAAATATGAATTTGGTTTCTGTATTGGATTGTGTTGAACATGAAGATTTATTTTGGTAGGATTGTCATTTTCACTATACTGAGTTTTTCTAGCCATAAACAGTAAACATTTTTTCTATTTATTTAGGTCTTTTATTGTTTCTCAGAGAAGTATTCTGTAGTTTTCTTTATACAGGTCTTTTATGTCTCTTGTTGTTGTTGTTGCTGTTATGTGCCGTCAAGTCGTTTGCGACTCATAGCGACCCCATGTACAACAGCCCTAAACCCCCTAGTAATTTACAAAATCGTTGCTCCTGCATGCTGCAGAGTATTCCATTGTGTGGATGTACCTTAATTTCTCAATTCATTCTATTGTTGTCAGATATTTGGGCTGCTTTCATGTTCTTGTGATGGTGAATAACACTGCTATGAACATTGCTGTACAAGTGTCCATTTTTGCCTCAGTTCTCATTCTCTTGGGGTATTTTCCAAGCAATGGACTAGCTGGGTCATATGGAACTTCTGTGTTCAGCTTTTGGAGGAAATGCCAAACTGCCTTCTAGAGTGGTTGTACATTTTGCAATTTCACCAATAATGTATAAAAGTTACTATCTCACCACATTCTCTCTAACATTTATTATTTGCTGTCCTGTTAAACTTTTCCACTGCTGCTGGAGTGAGATGGTATCTCATTGTGGTTTTGCTTTGCATCACTTTTATTTCCAGTGATTTGGAGCATTTTTTCATGTGTCTACTGGCCATCTGAATATCTTCCTCTTTGAAAATTTATTTCTGTTGATTTTGCCTATTTTGAAATTATGTTATCAATCTTTTTTCTTGTGGAGGCCCTATATGATTCTGTAAACTTTTGATATGAGATCCTTGTCTGAAATTGAACTGCCAAATATTTTTTCCAAGTCAATAGGTTTTCTTTTCACTCTGCTGGGAAAAGTTTTTGATGTGCACAGGATTTAGTCTTTAGAAAGTCATAGTCATCAATTTCATCCTCTCCAGATTGAGCATTTCTGGCCCTGTCAGTCTCGTTATACCATAGACTAGGCCTCTTGGGCCCAGTTTGTCTCTTCTAAACTTTATGGTTTTTGGCTTTACCCCCAGGTCTCTGATTCACCTTGAGTTGATTTTTGTGTATGTTGTAAGATGTGGATCCCGTTTCAGTTTTCTGCAAGCAGCAGTGTAGTTATGCCAGCTCCATTAATTGAAGAAGTTACCATTTCCCAAACTTTTCTGTCCTTGTTGAATACCAGTTGACCATAGATTGCTGTTGTTGTTATGTACCGTCGAGTCATTTGCGACTCATAGCAGCCCTATGTACAACAACCCTAAACCCTGCTCTATCCTGTGACAATCACATTGCCTCTGACACACCCATCCCGATTACCCCAGTCACTGAATCAATCAACCTCATGGAGGGTCTTCCCCTCATGTGCTGTCCCTCTACCCTACCAAGCATGATATCCCTCTCCAAGGACCTGTCTCTCCTTACAACATGTCCAAAGTATGTCAGACGAAACCCCAGAATCCTTGCCTCCAAGGAGTAGCCTGGTTTAATCCTCTAGGATGAATCTGTTTGTTTTCTTGGCAGTCCATGGAACATTCAATACTCTTCTCCAGCACCACAGCTCAAAGGCATCGATTCTCCTCCTATCCTCCCTAGTCATTGTCCAACTCTCTGATGCATAACCAGTGAATGCAAAGACCATGGCCTGGATCAGGCACACCTTAGTCTCCAGAGACACACCGTTGCTCTTGAGTACTTTAGAGAGGTCCCTAACAGTAGACTTTCCCATCTCAATACGTTTTTTTTTTTATTTCCTGTCTGCTGGTGCCAAGAGTGTTGACCGTGGAGCCGAGAAAACTGAAGCTGTGAACAATCTCAATCTCTTCGTCATCCATCCTGATGCTACTGATTGGTCCAGTGGTGAGAATCTTTGTCTTCTTGACATTGAGCCTCAGTCCATACTGAAGGCTGCAGTCCTTGACCCACGCAGCAAATGCTTCAGGTCCTCCTCAGTTTCAGGAGCATGGTTGTGTCATCTGCATAATGCAGATTGTTGATAGATCTTCCACCAATCCTAACACCACACTTCTCCTCATAGAGCCCAGCCTCTGGGATAATCTGCTCTGCATACAGGTTGAAAAGGTATGGAGATAGGACACATTCCTGGCATACACCTTTCCCAATTTTGAACCATATAGTGTTGCCCTGCTCTGTTCTGACGACTGCCTCTTGGTCGAAGTATAGGATTCTCATTAGCACGATTAAATGTTCTGGGAAGCTGGGTCTATTTCTAGGTGTTCAATTCTGCTTCATTGTTCTACGTTCCTGTCATTGTACCAGTACTATGCTGATTTGGTCACTACCCCTACATAGTAGCTTTTCATGACTGAGCTTGTTATGCCTCTCACTTCATTTTTGTTTATCTGAAGTGTTTTGCTTATTTGGGGATCTTTCTTCTCTCCACATAAACTTGACAATTTCCCTTTTGATCTCCTTGAAAAATGAATTTGGTATCTGTGCTGGGATTGCATTGAACATGGACACTGCTTTTGATAGGACTGTCATTTTAATAATATTGAGTATTCCTAACCATGAACAGGGCACATTTCCCCATTTCTTTAGGTCTTTTACTGTGCCTTGCTGAATTGTTCTGCCGTTATCTTTGTCTAGGTCTTTCAAATCTCTAGTTAGGTTCACTCCCTACTATCTCTATTTGTGGATGGCTATTGTAAATAGTATTGCTTTCTTGGTTTCCTTCTCTAAGTTCTCTTTCTTACTGTGGAGGAATCTCACTGATTTTTGGCTATTGATC